ACGCGCAGTACCTCAAGGAAGTCGAGAAGGCTCGTCGGGACCTTCGCGCTCTCATCTCCGTCAGGAACTGCGCTCCTATCATGGTTCGATTGGCGTAAGTGCTCTCTTTTCACTTTCGTCTTCGCTGTTTCCACGTTCCGTTTGGCTCCCGAGAAAAACTAGGAGAAGGAAGGGGAAATGAAATTTATATCTAGTGTCTAGTTCTAGTTTTGAGTAAGGATGAGTTTACTGTTTAGGTTTTGAGTTTCTTTTTTTCTTTCTTGCATTTTCCGTTTGGCCAAACAGCTCATTAGTCTGTTACTGTTCGATCACCAAAGTCAATGAATAAAAGAAGAAGAAAGTTTTAATTTATTCTTTCTTTTTTAATTTTTAAATTCTTACTAATCAGAAGTTACATTCAATCAATTGAGGCAGGTGGCATGATGCTGGGACATACAATGCTGAAACAAAAACCGGTGGCGCTAATGGCTCCATCAGGAATGAGCATGAGCTAAACCATGGCGCAAATAGTGGTTTGAAAATTGCTGTTAATTTTTGTGGTGAGAATTTTTGGGAACTTTTATCTGTACTGAAGTTCTTAAGCAATTCATTGATAGTTTATACTGATATTTTTCATATTAAAAAAACAAAAAAATTGTACTGATTTTGATGAGGTCAACTCATAGGCAAAGCTTATCTATTGGGTTCTATTGTTTTTGCAGTATCCTAGAGTTAATTCCAATTCTGAGTTGCTGCACTCTTTGAAATGACTGAAATTGGAAACAATTCGGTCTCCCGAGAAATTTAATTGTAGATGCCAAACAGTTTATTTTTCCCCTAATTCTTTTGTTGTTCTGTTTTGATATCAGAGGAAGTCAAAGCCAAGTATCAGAAGATCACATATGCTGACCTCTACCAGGTGACTGTAGTTTTTCAATCTCTCCTTGTTTTGTTGTGAACCTTTGGCTTTATGTTGTACTTGTTGTTTGGTCCTAGATATATGCTATTTCATAAGGAAAATGTTAGTGTAACATAATACACTGCAAAGTTCAATGGACTCTGTTAGATTTCAAGGGCCATTGTTTTATGAATTATGGTTCCGATGTGTGATTTTCTGGGGAGGATCCCATCTTTATGGAAATTTTCTATCTCATCTACCAATGTAGGTGTAGTTTTTATTTATTTATTTTGTTTTATGAATGGAGCAAGTTTTATTTTGATCAGATAAAAAACGTCACACACATGCACTAGTTAGGTGCTTTTATTTTTTTTTCTGTAAATATTGGATGAGCTAGTTACCTAGCTCCATGTGAGAACCAGAATTGAGTAACTCGTAATTTTTCTGTCTTATGATCTTAGCTTGCTGGGGTTGTTGCTGTCGAGGTCACTGGTGGCCCTACTATTGAGTTTGTTCCTGGTAGAAAGGTACGTTCATTCATGGCAGTTGTTAATAACATATTTATCAAGTATGTTCCTTGCAGTTGTTGAACTTTCTTTCTATCTCTGAATCCAGGATTCATTGGAGTCTCCGGAAGAAGGACGGCTTCCAGATGCCAAACAAGGTATGCATGCCTATAAAGTTTCAGCTGCTTTAATACAGAAACTTAGGTTCTCTCTCTTCTTCTTGGGTTATTTTTTTATTAGTGTGCTAAAGGAAGATGAACAAATCATTATTCTGATTTCCTTCAATGTTGTAATGGTTTGTTTTTTCGATTTTGGTGCAGGTGCATCACATTTGAAGGACATCTTTTATCGCATGGGTCTGTCTGATAAAGACATTGTGGCACTGTCAGGAGCCCACACATTGGTAGCTTTTTAATGGACTCAACAAGGTGAAAAATACTTTTCAGTTATATATAATATACATATATTGAATACTTCTTTGTTTCTGTAGGGTAAAGCACATCCAGAAAGGTCAGGCTTCGATGGCCCTTGGACGAATGAGCCTTTGAAGTTCGACAATTCATACTTTGTGTAAGAAATACTTAACACAATTGATTTTTAAAACTTTCAATTGGTAGGACCAAATGCGGCACACATTGACAGTTGTTTATGTTGTAACTAAATGTTTTTCAGTGAGCTACTCAAGGGGGAATCAGAGGGGCTGCTGAAACTTCCCACAGACAAGGCTTTATTGGACGATCCTGAGTTCCATCGCTATGTCGAGCTTTATGCAAAGGTAACTAATTTGATTTATCTTCGGTAAATCAGTAAATAAATTGCAAGGAAATTGAGAGCTTCGGTGAAATCAAAGCTTTACCTTTTGGCTCTATTACCTTGCAGGATGAGGATGCATTCTTCAAAGACTACGCAGTGTCACACAAGAAACTATCAGAGCTAGGCTTTACTCCATCGTCTAGCATCAAGGAAGCCGTAAAGACAAGTACTTTGGTGGCACAAAGTGCTGTGGGAGTTGCCGTTGCTGCAGCTGTTGTGATCCTGAGTTACTTATACGAAGTTCGTAAAAAAGTCTAGTGAAAATGTAAATATTTTTAATAATATCATGAGAAGCCAGTGAAGCATATTCCATCAGGGGAACATATGATATTAGTACTTAATTGTCAGTAAGACCTGGACTTTTCTGTAATAAGTTCTGAAATTCTAGTACTGAGCTTATAAAGTACATGTTTCCAATATATTGCTTGCTTTTCGTAACTTCACCAAGAAATTTGAAAGCACAAGAAAGTAGGTGCAAGATGATGCTTCCCTGGCCTTCAAAACAGGGAACCAATGCTTTTCTTGTTCGCTTGCAAAACCCTCCTGTCAGTCATTCCTTTATTCCGATGCTTCTTTTAAACCTCCCCACATATAAACTGGAACAAAATCTTCTTCTTTGTAAAGTGTGACTAAAATAAGCCCTTTGCTCTCGAGTCATGGCTGCGCCAGTAGTAAACAAAGAGTACCTCAAGGAAATCAAGAAGGCTCACCAAGACCTGCGTGCTCTTATCTACAGCAAGACCTGCGCCCCTATCATGCTTCGTTTAGCGTAAATGTTCATTCTTCATTTTTCCCTTAAACTTGGTCCTCCCATGACCTTACCTTTGGTTGCTCAAGAAAACTGGTGAAAAGGAAATGCCCTTTTGAATTGATGTCTTGTTTTCACTATTTTCATCATTTTCTCAGCAACCAAACACGATCATTAGCTGTTTTCGTGGGGGAACCCGATTGTTGCTGTTAACAATTTGGTCCCTTCTTAGGCCTTAAAGATGCCATTTTAAATATCCAGTCTCTAACTTTTATAGAAATGGTAACTAATTTATGATGGTTCAGGTGATCTTAAATCAATCAGAAGTTACTATATAACCATTATTTTGATAGGTGGCATGATGCAGCAACATACGACGCTAAATCAAAGAACGGAGTAGCTGGAGGGCCAAATGGCTCAATCAGGAACGAGGAAGAGTTAAACCGTAGTGCAAATTATGGACTGAATATTGCGGTTGATTTATGCGGTAAGCCTTTGCTTTTGCTTTTTACTTATTCTCAACTCACTTTCTCTACGTGTTTCTGATTGTGCTTTGATTTTCAGAACAAGTGAAGGCCAAACACCCCAAAATTACATATGCTGACCTCTACCAGGTTGTTATGCAATGCATAGTTTGACATGCATAATAGCTATTATTGATGAAACCCTCAATTTTGCTAACTTCAAAGGTTGTCTTCCAGCTTGCTGGGGTTGTTGCAGTAGAGATCACTGGAGGTCCATCCATTAACTTTGTTCCGGGCAGAAAGGTATGCATATCGGTTTCGAAACACCTACTTAAAAGCTGTTCTTCTTTCTTTAAAAAATTTGTACCTTTCTTTATCTCTCAATCAGGACTCAAATCAATCTCCACCCGACGGGCGCGTTCCCGATGCCAAACTTGGTATGTCATCAATCATGTTCATCAAGTTTTTCATTTGCAAATTCAGCTTGTAGCACAAGAAATATGTTTGTTTGTTTCATTTTGTTAATAGGTGCATCACATTTGAGGGAAGTTTTCTATCGTATGGGCCTGTCTGACAAGGACATTGTGGTATTGTCTGGAGGCCATACACTGGTAACTTTCTCCATCCATATACTAAAAGTAGACAATGTTTTCGTTGTACGTAGAGTTCATCTCTTCTTTTCTTTTGGTTCTGTAGGGAAGGGCACATCGGAACAGATCTGGCTTTGATGGCCCCTGGACAAAGGAGCCTGAAAAGTTTGATAACTCATATTTTGTGTAAGACATTCATGAAAGTTGTCTACTTTTATATGCAATAATGAATGTTCCTCGGGTTATAGATATAAATTCTGTGATCAGGGAACTACTGAAAGGGGAATCAGAAGGACTGTTGAAACTTCCCACAGACAAGGTTTTAGTGGAGGATCCTGTGTTCCGTCGATATGTTGAGCTATATGCAAAGGTAAATAAAGTTTCCAAGCCAAAAATTAAACTAAAAAAAAATGAAGTTAGTAGTAGCAAGCAAGGATTTCCCCAGAGTTAGTCGATACCGTTGATTGTTGTGGTTATGAAACTTATCTATTTTCTGCCATTCCTTGTAGTGTTCCATGCTTACAAGTAGAAGAAAAAAGATTGGTATCACATCACAGGCTGTGGTAGTTGATAATTTTACCATATTCACATCTGGCAATTAACATGACTCTTTTGTATATGAGCAGGATAATGAAGCATTCTTCAGCGGTTATGCAGTATCACACAAGAAACTATCAGAACTTGGCTTCACCCCACCTTCTCTGGGTCCGAAACTAGTAGTTACTCTTAGCATTGCTGCTGCAATAGTTGCAGCGCTAGTGTACGACAAATGCCAAGGTTTCATCCAAGACATGAAGACCCTCAATTAGAGTGGAAACTACAGTTAACTGGGAACCTGAGACAAAACTCAATCGCCAATATTTCCAAAATATCCCTTAAACCCTTATGTTTTCTTTTAAATTTTATTGTTGTCCAGATTTTATGTAAATTGTCTCATGAATAAATATGATGGTGTGACAGTTGCCAGAACAAAAATGATTTCACACTTGACAGTATTGAGAGTTGTAGAAAAAGAGCCGTTATTATTATTGTTCTGTTAAAGATTGGCCCTGTTTACAATTTGCAAGGCATACATAGAATAAATCTACCCGTACAACTTCAACTACATACTCTATTCTCTCCCAGAAGATAAGATAAAGAAAGGAGAACAAGTTCATCTCCAGCCTAAAAAAAACTATGCAATTCTTCAAATTAAATGAGTTTAAAGGTAAATGATTAATATAGAAGACTAATTAATTAGATTAAATTAGTTCAGGCCCTTGGACTCAAAGAGAGAGTAATATCTTGAAAAACCCTCAGCCTCTTTTCAATCTTCTTCGGAAAGATCCCGGAACTGTTGCTGGTACCAATCACCTTTCCAGTTTCATTAGTTGGGTCAATAACCGCAGAGATGATAGCCTCTTCGAAGTCCTTGTTGTCGGGCAACAAATTTGTTAACTCGTCCCCTGTTTCTTCAGATGTAAGAGAGAGCCTTCTTCTGGTCTTGTTCTCTGGTACACCCAATTCCACAGTAGGCTTTGTGATCTCAGCCGTATCGGTCACTCTCATTGAATTGGCAGCATTTCCAGACCTTGTTCTCTTAAGGGTCTCAGCAATTTGATTGCTAGTTGGGGCTGGCATGAACTTTGCGTAGTAAGGCTGTGCAGCAACATTTAGTGAGTTTCCAAAAGGAGGAGGGGCTTGAGGAACTTGCTTTATACTTTTATGCTGAGGAAGCCCCATCTGGTTTGTGAATATGTTTATGTTTGAATTGATATTCTCATCAGCAAACTCATCTTGGTGAGTTTTGACAGAATCTGTTGTTACTGGCAAGCTGCTATGGTGGTGGTCTCTGCAAGGCTGTGGCTGCCAAATCGATGAAGACCCAAGGAAGGCGTCGAAAAGCCTGCTCTGCTCAACCCGGTCCCCGCCCTTGTTCATCATCTCAGACTCAAGATCCTTGAGCATCTGCTGAGCCCTTTCGTAGGCTTTGAGATGGGAATCAGTTCCTCTTGGACCATCTGCAACTGCAGGTTTAACACGGCGAAGATTTTCTTTAGCCTCAGAAATTCTTCCTTGCTTCATTAGACAAATCCCAAGGTTGCACATCTTGTTATTATCCGGTGCAATTGTTAGAGCACGCCTATAAGCATCTTCAGCTTCAATGTAGTTGTTCTGCTGCATTAAAGCCCACCCCAAGTTCCCCTGAAAACACAAACACAGAATTAGTCTCTCTGTTGTCACTAAATTTGAAGTGAAATAACAAATACTTGGTTTTCGTTTGCCTCGAAATCTTACCAGTAATCTAGTGGCTTCTTGTTCCACAGAGACTTGAAATTTCTTCCCCTGAGATCTGGCAGTTTTGGTGCGCTTTCCATTGAAAGCCATCCCTTGCTGAATCAAGTACAACTTGTGCCTCAAAAGTGCTATTTGGTCATCCAATCTTCCACATCTCTATAGAAAAAAAAATCGCCCAGATTATCAGAAACTGCTTGTTAGTTTCATATCATAATTAGAATTTACGAATATTCTGGGGGGTTTCCATACCTTGTAAAGATCCAAAAGAATGTTGTCAAGAGATTCTTGGGCTTGATCCGAACACCGGTGTCTCAGTGACTTGATGGCTTCAATGGCTTCTTCAGCCCGGTTCTGTTGCTTCATCACAATAGCCATGTCTTTCAAAGCACTGTCCACTCTGTCCCCAGAATTAATGGCAGCCCAAAATAGTGGGATCGCCTTTTCTGGATCCTTATCCACCAGCTATTGGAAAAAGAAAAAAAAGCACCCATCAATTAGAACATGAACCAAAACAAGAAAAAAAGAACAATTTCCAGATTTCTGATCCAAATTTTAAAAAGAACCCACAAGATTTACCTGAACATTCTTGGCTCTAACATAAGGAGTGTCGCCTACTGGGACTTTGTGAGTCACATGAAACGACTCGGACCGGGTCCTCAAAACTCCAAGAGGCTTGGCTGGTGAGGAAGGGGCAGACTTGGTGGGTCTGAAACCAGGCGGAGCATTCCACATATCTTGCAACATCTTTAAATTTGAATGATATGTAATCTTATAGAAGAAGTGAGATCTAAAGATGAAGACGATATACGGAAGGCTTTTTAGATGAAGAAGAGAAGTCTCAGAGGAGAGAAGAAGAATGGGGGGAAGGAGGGTGAGAGAGAGGGGCAGAGAGAATGAAAGAAACGGTGTGGTTTCGTGGGGGGTAATATGAGAAATTATAGAGATTTGAATTTTTTGACCGTTGGGGTGTTACCGTTCGACAAACTAGCCGTTGCGGGTGTTTTTCTATATTGTAGCGGAAAATGAAGTATTCGCGTATCTGCGCCGTTGTCCAAGTTTTGCTAATTAATATTAATTTCCAGTTTCTATATTCGATACTACATACCATACATACAAGATTTACATACAAAAATTTATTGACATTTTTGAACGAATATGCCCTTTTAATTACATATTCAAATTCAAGAACATATGTGATTATTTTTAAATTAAATTCTACTCTTAGGTTCAAAATGCCGAAGGAGATATAAACGTCCAATTATACGGATGGAGAAATATTAAGTTAAAATTTCATTTCTTATACAAGGAAGTGTTATATGGTCCGACAATAGATATATTATGTTATAAAGATGTTAAGTTATATTAATAATGCTCAAGCGCTAACTCGTTAGTAATTTAATAAGTTCAATTGAATTATTAGTGTTGTATTATGTCACTAACCGATTATCACTTGAGTGCTTTTGTAGATCATTAATTGAGTATATTCTTCTTCTTTTTTTTTTTATGATAAGCGATAGAATATTATTGATGTGAAAAAGCTAATACAAGAAGTTTGAACTCGTATCAAGGACAAAGGAAATTCCTTGGTCACGAGTTACAATCCTTGTACAGTACATCAAAAATAAAATCAGGAGGTTCCTTGAATCAATATAGAGAACCCTCAATATGCAAGTCAAAATGCGCTAAACGATGAGCCACACTATTGACAATATGACGAATATGGGTATATTCTTATTTGAATATGTTGTGTAACAGTCCCGCTCACCTAAAGACCTAAAAATGAGGTCTTGTGAGGTCTTTTTTAATACAGGCCCATTGAATTAATCCAACGACACATATAATATAGTAATTTAACCCTCGCTCATGCTCCTTGCCTTATCCAAACTCTTTTATTTATTTATTTTAATTAGTCTAACCCAATAAATAAATGAAAATTAGGGTTACACGTTCAAACCCAGGCATCTTCTCCCTCCTTCCCCACATCCATCTTCATACTCTCTCTCTCGTTATTCTCCCTCAGCCATCTTCATACCATCTTCTTCTTTGAAAGAATTATTGTAGATAGAGGTCTTGGATTGATTGAAAACTACCAAGAACTTATGACAGCGTGGCAGTTATCTTCATTTGTGGCAAAACGAGAAGCACTAGCAGGGAAAAAAAAACTGAAGAATCAAGTTGAGAGGTTAAAGAATTCCCTTGGGGCATTTATGACATGTTAATGCCATATATCCATCTTTGGACTTGAGGCCATCATATTTATTTGCAAAATATTTAAGAAATTTATTGAATTTAATATTTTGACTCACGAAGATATTTTGGTTGTCAATGGAATGAGAAGAAGCCAGGGAATCGCTTGTATGAATTTCTTCATCTTTCCTAAACTCAGAACGACACAAGGAAGAGCGAGAGAAAAAGGTCTAATTTTTATTTATTTATTGAAAGGGAATGAAGATGCTGAGAGGAAGATCGAGAGAAGGGATGAGGGAAGAAGATGGCTGGGGTGGAAGACAAATTGAACGTTTATCCTGATTTTTATTTTATTTATTGGGTTAGAATAATTAAAAGAGTTTGGGTAAGGCAAGCAGCATGAGTGAGGGTTTAAACTACTAATTATATGCGTCATTGGATTAATCCAATGGCCTGTATTAAAGAGGACCTCACATGACTTCATTTTTAGGTCTTTAGATGTGCGGGACTGTGTAATTTGGATTAACAATCTAAACCGCTTAACGGAGAAGTGGGTATAATGGGCCACACAAAAAACCAAAGAAGGTGATGGGCCATAATATTGGTCCGATAGATGGGTTGCCTGAGTTGCCCCAGACCCTTCCGTGATCAGTTTTTACCAAACCAACGCATAAATTTGTGTCCAAAAATTCAAGTAACATAGAGACAACATTAGCGAACAGAGAGAGAGAAGCAAGATCTACCCCAAGTTATGATCACAAGCATAGGTAAAATTCTGCTATATCACATTACAAAGTAAAATGAGAACATTCAATACATAAAGGGAACAAACTATAGCGCCCGATCCCGAAAACTGTCTGTTTTATCAAGTCTAGCTGTACCCGAGCTTGATGATTCGCCCATTGCATCAGGAGAAGCTGCTCTCTGGGCTGAATCTTTCTTCAGAGAAGTTGGTATACCTGAAATCTCCTGAAGAATGAAAGGAGTAATCACCAGAGGCAAATATAAGTTAACATGTCTATACACACAAGGCAAGAATCCTACAGGCTACATCTATTCTCTCATCAGCTAGAACAAAATATAAAAAATATCAATTCCTGATTACCTTCATTAGATGCAACCTCAAGTCACAAGGTCGAACTTGATTTCCAATGCACGCCATCACAAATTTTGAATAGTTAAACAATACATCAGCAGCAGCTTGCTTTTTCTCATCAACCTATATATTAAAAAAAGCCAGGAAAAAACAAATTAAAGTCGTTTCGGCAATTAAGAAGCATCTCATCAAACTTGCAACACCAAGCACCAGCTAATCCAAAACATAAACGAAAGAAATTTAAGTACTAAATAAACCTCTATCCGCCTAAAGCACACAAATGATTTAAGTCATATGAACTTGAGAAGGGGCCAAGGGTTCAGTCACCTAATTTAGTATCTCTATCAGCAAAACCAACGAGAAGTGAAACGTATCATAGAACAAAACACCTGTTCATGGAGCTCCAAAACATGATCATAAGCATAATCTGATGTTAACCTCAACAAATTTCTTCTGCCATTCATTTTATCCCTGCATAATGATAATGGAGTACCATAACTCCCCATTGGAACAAGGGGCACATAGTTAACACTAGACTGACAAAGAAAGGAAAAACTATCACTTCCTATTTTCGTTTTGCCTTTTGCTTTCTACAATTGTTTACCCAAAACAATTCAATCATGCATTTGTTTTTTGTTGCTTTTTACAGAACATGACATATGCAAACGTGATTTATCGTCCAAAATACACAGATCACTGGAACATGAATTTTTAAGACTCATGCGCCCAGAAAATTCCAATTGGGGACATCCCCAATTCTTAATCTTCCAATACGCAAATTCTACCACAGAGTTCATAAAACTGATTGACCCTCTAAACAAACACACCAAAACTTTCAATTTCTGAAATCCAGCTACAAGTTTTCACTACACAATGGTCGCAATGATTCAAAATCTGACACCAACCATCATCCATAAAATTTCCAACAGCCAACGTAAAACAAAAACTAAATAGATTAAGAACATGTAAACTTGCGAAAAATCAAATTTTGATGAGGTGGTTGTGGTTGGATTTGGGTGTTGTTTCGAGGGTTAGCCAAAGAGAGAACAGATGAAGGTCGTGTTTTGGTTTAGAGACGGTGCAGAAGTCGATGGTATCAGAATTGAAACGAAATTTAATTTCTTCTAAATTAAGGAAAAAAAAAAAATTTGAGGTTCAAGTTTTGAAAACTGTACCTCGTAATCTTCTTTCATGGCGGAAACTCTGCGTCTATGTTTTTTTTTTCCAATATCGGGGAAGAGAAAAGAGAGAAGAGAAGTAGAAAGAACCGCCACGGAGAGCATGAACAGAGTTAGATAAATAAAATACGATTGAAATAAATAAATAACGAACGAAAGAGCAAATCGGCCTATTAGCTCAGCTGGTTAGAGCGTCGTGCTAATAACGCGAAGGTCGCAGGTTCGAGACCTGCATGGGCCAATTTAATTTTTGAGTAAATTTTCTTTTTTGGCTTTTGTTATATTATATTGTGGAGTACTTGTAAGCCCTAAAAGTTCGCGGGTCAACTAAAACTAAAACCTAATAAAATGTTTTCGGCCTGATCTGAGATTGGAAACCATTTATAGAAAGACTTTCATCTAACGGTAATAACACCTTTTTGCTATTTCGACTAATGATGCAATGACACGTGAGATAACTTTTTCACGTGTCATTATGTTATTGGCCGGAAATAACAAAACATTGCTATTCCAATTACAAGTAAGTTTTTCTATATTTATAGTGGGTAAGTTGTAAATTTTGGTCTTATAAAGAGAGATAAAATGCAAAGGTGAAAATAGGATTACACCAACTTGGAGAAAAAGGCACTATAAACAAATCAAATCTGGATCCGATCACTCTTTACAGAACCATTTCCTCCAAGTAAGTTTTAACACTTTTTTGCTATCCTGACTAATGATGCAATGACACGTGAGCTAAGTTTTTCACATGTCATTGCTATCTCCATTACAAGTAAGTTTTTCTATATTTATAGTGGGTAAATTGTAAATTTTGGTCTTATAAAGAGAGATCAAATGCAAAGGTGAAAGTAGGATTATACCAACTTGGAGAAAAGGCACTATAAACAAGATCAAATCTGGATCCGATCACTCTTTACAGAACCATTTCCTCCAAGTTTGTTTTAAGCATTAATTGGAGGAAAGCCGCCAAATTTGGAGGACACCCAAATTAAGTTGGGTGTAGCAAATGGTAGAATAAACTGGACTGTAGAATCTTCATAAAATCCCCAAATTAATCATCACAAATTAAAAGACAATGATTCTACCAGTCTCAATTAAAACTTAATTAAGCAAATCCCAATCCATTTGAAAATATAAGCTGTAATAACTAGCAGTTTTGAAGCTCATGAGCATACTAAATGCTGATGATAGTGATCAGTTTAAGCCACAGCAAGTGCAAAGTACAACTCCGAAAGAACAGCAAGGTGGAGGACATCAACCAGAGCTGGTAAAATAAACTTGCAAAATGAAAATAGGAAGATACAAGATCATGTTTCCCTAGGAGGGCCCTTCTTTGCCGCCTCAGCAGCTGCTTTCTCTGCTTCTATCTCAGCAACAATAGCATCAATTTCAGCTTCTTCAAGTTGCCGCAGACCATGATCCTTTGTCATCACAGCCACTTCTATGTTTTTTCCTCCACTTTCAACAACCTACAAATGAAATTTTACACAATTGAAAGTATGTCTTCTAAAGAACAATATGTAAATGTTCGAAACATTGAACTGATGGATGCTAAATCATGTGCATTGAATTGTTGGGTTTGGGACATCAAGAATGTTGAACAATCAGTCATAAAGAACAGAAAAATTTATGCAACAACTAAAACAAGCACAAACAACATACCTCAAGCAAAGCACGGATTGCAAGCTTTATGGTTTCTTGCCCAGAAGTTTCTTTGAAGTTCTTCTCCAGAAATTCCCTTATCGAATTGGAGTTTCTTCCAGTTGCATTAGCTTTCCATGCTGAAAAAGTCCCAGAAGGATCTGTCTGGTATAGTGATGGTGCACCCGTGTATGGATCAAACCCAACAATCAAAGTTGAAAGACCAAATGGTCTCACACCACCACTTTGTGTGTACTTTTGCTGAAGACCAGCAATGTAACGAGTTATATACTCAACTGTTACTGGATCCTCAACAGTAAGCCTGTGGCTTTGACATTCAATCCTCGCCTTGTTTATCAAAACACGAGCATCTGCTTTGAGCCCAGCACAGGCTAGAGCAATGTGATTATCCAGATTCACGATCTTCCTCACTGATCTGCACAGCAGAAGCAACAAAATGGTTAGAAGACAGTCAAAAGCAGGAGCAGGACCTCTCTTTCTGTTCCCTGAGAAGCACTAGATTCTATTATGAATTATAAGGAGAATAAAAGACTTATAAAGTTAAAAGGCTATTGATTTAAGACTTGAATTGCATCCTAATTCCTAAATGAGTAACTGATATGTGGTTGGTAGTCCTGTCAAAGATAAAAGCTTGGAATACTTGAAAAGTGTTATTATACACTCGTCTCAAGGCCAATGTAACAAAAATATAAGGTCTATCATAATTCATATCTTAGAGGATGCAGAGTGCACAATCATAATACAGTCTTCTGAAAAATTCTTCCCCATTTTCATAATAGTTTTCATTTGATTAGGACTTCAAAGTCTGATTACCAAAATTCTGAATAAAAGGGCGATACAAGACTTCAGAAACGAATAAATAAACTATCTGTTTTTTTACACTGGGATTTCCAAAGTAAAATTAACATCTTGTTTGTTTATAGCAAGGACCCAATTAACATCTTACATTTCCTTAGTTCAATTTCGTTTCAAAGTTACAAATGCAGATGCATCAAACAACTGATTGCAGAAATCGAAAGCAAAATTAGAAATCGATGTCATATAAAAACCCTAACCCTAAACCCAACCTCATTTTCAATCTGTTAGATCAAAGCACAGAAAAACATTGTTTGAGAGAGAGAGAGAGAGAGAGAGAGAGAGAGAGAGAGAGAGAGAGATGGACCTGGAGTCCTGGAGCTTGGCAGTGGACTTCTTTTCGACGCCGAGAACGATGGTGTCGGTGCCACGTACGCCGACGGCGGCGTTACCCTTGCGCACAGCTTCGAGCGCGTATTCGACATGGAAGAGATGACCATCTGGAGAAAACACCGTTATGGCTCTGTCGTACCTCGCCATCGTTCCACTGTCTTCTTCTTCTTCCTCTTCTGCTTCTTCTGATCTAGTAGTCTTTGTGCGAGCAGGTCTTTTTGCTTTTACAACTTTGCAGTGACAAATTATATTTTGCAATTCTCAACTTAGGCAACAAGTCACTTGTTAATTTTCTTTTCGCACGATGGGCAAAATGGTCATATAAGATTTTTGCTCTTCCATATTGGCTTATATTGTGTGTATATGTATATATATATATATTTTTTCAAGATATATTGTATTTTTTTTAGGCTAAGCAAAAGCCTCTTTCAAATTAAGGGTTTGTTTGGCGATGATTCTGGATAGGTCAATAACCACTTTTATGAAGGTGTGCTTTTTCTCAAAATCACTTAAAATCACTCAAAAGTGATTATATGAAGAAACACATAAGAGGTTGATGTACGATATGGGTGAATGTATTTGGGTAATTTAGCGGAAGCGAAAACAATGGAAAAACAGAAAATAGGTGGTAAAAGACGCTTTGGCTTCACACCAAAAGAGTATTGGCTTCACCACCAAGGAGTCTTCAATCTCTGGAAAGTAAACTTTTCTTAATATCACAAATTTCAATTTTAAAGAACTACATAGGAAGTATTTATAGCAAACTAAAGCCTAGAGATAATAGGATAAAAATCCCTTACTAAAAAAAAATCCTAATCCACAAAGGAACCAATCCAAATAAACTAGGAAACTTAAATCAAATCCTACTAAAAACTGGAAACTAAAACTTAATAAAATCTGGAAAATTCGAAAATCTTAGTGAAATCTGGAATCTGGAAAAAAAAAATTGTTTTCCTATTGAAATCTGGAAACTACGATTTCACCCCAACCATAATGATAATGTTGGATTGGCTGATCGTTTCTTCCTTCTTTGGTAAACCTTATTTGTCATAGACAGTGGCGGAGCCAGGATTGTATGTGTGGGGGCTAAACCATAATACAAGTATAGAAGAAAGAAAAAAAATTCAATCTTACATCAATAATATATATAAGAAAAAATGGACATTTTCATAACTTTGTACTCAATTTCATGTATCAAAACGGAAAAGTCTACTGATAAAATCTCATTTCCCTTTAAACTATTTATTTTCTATTCCCTTTGTTTTTTTGTCAAACTATTTTCTATTCCCTTGGCTCATTGGTTTGATTATTAGAGGATTAATACTTCCTTTTTTATGTCATTTGTGTAATGGGCCCACAAACATTTTACATATAATTATAAATGAAGTTATTATGGATTGCAATTTGGGGGCCATTAGAATGATTATATGGTTTGCATTGTTAAATATATGAACTAAAACCCAATCTTTACTGTGTTAAGAACAAATTGTGGAGGAGCCAAGGGCCACCTCAAGCCCTAGAGTACCTCCGCCCCTGGTCATAGATGTCCGCATCATAGGTGCTTTTCCTTAAAAATGATTCTGGACTATCTGAAATCACTCCCAAACGAACCCTAAAAGAACGATTAACGGTCACCTTTCAATTGATTTTTTTTATTTTTATACAAGATATTGTTAAAATTATTCTAAATTATAGAGAAGAAGATTGTGCTCGCCATAACCACAAATAGTACGCAAGTCTATTTTGTCTTTTTTTGGGGGTAATTTTTATAGTATTGTACAAGTTTTTATAGAATTAGAAGTTTTGTTTTTCTAATTTTATCCTTTCTAACATCTGTTCATGAGGATTGACAGCCTATCTCATGTCTATGCAGAAAGGAACTTTGCTTGGCCAGACTTGGGTTATTATCTTTGGACTGCACAATGTTCTTTGCTCCCTCCTCAAGGTCAGGATGTTCTCTTTGAAAGACATGATTGGGGTTTCTAGGCCTTGGTTGATTTGTTTGTAGTTTCTTTCCTTTTTTGTGGGATTTAGAAAGAAAAAAAAAACACCTTTGCTTTCCTCACATCAGAGCCAACCTTTATATTTCTTCCCATAAGAACCACATCAAGGAACCAAGAAAGCAAAACACAAGAAAGAAAATTGGAGCATGTGACCTTTTGGTCTGCACAACTTAAGAGGAAAATTGGATATAGATATCTAATGTAGAGGTTATGTTGTATTTTCCAAAGTACCATTAATTTCACATTAGAAAGCTCTCTAAGCAATTTGTTTGCTTACATTTGATTTGCCTGAAA